GTGTGTGTGTGTGTGTGTGTGTGGGCTATCAGGGGTGGGCCACACTGCTGGTTGTGCAGCAGGAGGAGCCAGCCTTCCCTGCCCCCATGGCAATCCCCACGCCTACTTCTTGTGGGAGACCTTGGTGTGCTCAGGTGTTGATGGGGCAGCTGAGGGCTTTCAGATTCTGAAGCAGTGCTCTGCAGCTGGAGTTGCAGTGCAGGCCCTCATGAAGACCAGGGTCCTTTGATAGCTTTGGGCCACCTCACACCACTTATTTGTTACTAATTATAGCACGTTGGAAGCAGAGCTTTGCTGGTTGGAAAAATCAGAGTAGGAGCAGGTTTTTGATTTTAAAGGCCCCAGACACATTCGAATACTTCCTACACACTGATGTGAGACCAGCACATACTTGAACTTTCTCTGTGATGGGTGTATGCACATCACACTCTCAAAAATACTCACTCTTACCAAAACCCCTCCCTGTGAAGGGTGACTGTGTGGCTACAGATGACTTTTCTCTCCTTAATGAAAACTCTGCTTTTCTGGGGTACATTAGAAACTCATGGCAAGGATTGAGTTTGGCTATACACACCACAAAGTTTCCAGACATTGCCAGCATAAACCAGATACTAGTTGATGTCTCTCTCTTGGTAGCTGGTTAAGGACCAGTTCAACCCTCTGTGATGTCATGGGGGATGAAGGGTCTGGCATTTCCTCCTCACCTTCTGGATTCCTCAGAACTTGTGGTGCACCAGCCATCACATCAACATTCCAGGTAGCACAAAGGTGAGAGAAGAGGTAAAGAGAAGCGTTCTTCCTCTTAAAGGGGAGTGACTGCAGAAGCCCCACATAGTAATTTATTTTCACACAGTTGGCCAGAGACTAAGTGACATGGATGCTTTTCCCCACTGAGACTCCCTGATGGAGAAGCTGGACACACGGCCGCTTTCCCATCGATCATAGCTTCGTTTTCTGAGTAGACAAGGTGAATGGGTGCTGGGTGGATGCAGGCTTTGCCAGCCTCACATTTGAAATCTACCTTTGCATTGTTTTAAGTACATTAAAAATTTTATTACACATTTATTTATGTGTGTGTGTGTGTGTGTGTGTGTGTGTGTGTGTGTGTGTGTGTGTGTACGAGTTTTAGGAGCCTGTTCTCTCTTTGCTGTGTTGGTCCTGGTCCTCAGCTGTTGTGGCAGGTGACTTTACTATTAAGACTTCTTACCAGCCCCCTTCAGGACAATTTCAAGTCCAGATTAAACTGATGAACATAGGTCCATTTGCAGATGCCATGTACCTGCAGTGCACAAAGGCTGGCGTGACCTGGAACTTTATGAGGGTGGCCAGCAGGAGTCACTCTCAGGAGGGAGGTGACCCCATGAAGTCCGTCCACATTGTTGTCACTCTTCTAAGACTGGGGACTGTGGAATTTCAGGTTCTGAGTGGCAATTGTCACGACACATAGGACTGCCAATTAAAATGCATTTTTTTATATCCATGACTATATTTTGTTGCCATAGATTGTCCTTCGGGTGTGTAAGTGCTCGTGAGAGGGCTGTCCCGTTTGTCTGGTTTGATGTAGTGGGACACGTAAACACACGTCTGCCCATCGATTATCTCAACCTGTCTTTGATTTGACAGAGTTAGAATCTCCCAGCTAATTCCTGCTTTAGTTTCAGGCACAAGAAACACATTTGTATGCTCACAGTCTTGTCCCCAGTCACCTCCAATTTACTTGGGAAGGTGACATGCTGGTCTCCCTCAGTGACCTGACTCTCCCCACTTCTTTCCAGGTGTGGAAGGATGCTGCCACTCAGATTTTCTTCTCCCTGTCTGCCGCCTGGGGAGGGCTCATCACTCTTTCTTCTTACAACAAATTCCACAACAACTGCTACAGGTACATGTGGCCATGGGATCCAGAGGGAGAAGACTAGCGAAATGAGCAAAGTGAAGCCTCAGCAGACACCCAAGGCAGAGCTAGAGATAGGCCTTGGGCTCAGGAAGAGCCACTGGCCAAAGCCTGGTCACTGACTCCTCTATCTTAGCTGACCCCACTGAGCAGGGTACTGAGTGGAAACTCTACCTATAGGATGCAGTATGTCCCTGGAGTGGTCACTGTGTCTGGCTGTGTCCTGTGGAAGTCCATGTGTATAGTCATGTGTGTAGTAGGGCCACCGATTACTTGATACATACTTCTCAAGGGGTTTCATGGGAAAGCCTGAAGAGGAAGGACAGCATGGAGCTAGGGGCATTTGAGGATAGCATTGCCATGAGCTACAAATGCAAGGCACAGGCAGGATGTGCCCCTCTGGACATCCGTTTTCTCATCTATAGAGCACAGACAGAGTGCAATGTTTTGTGGGTAAGAGTGATGCATGCAGTCACCAGAGGAGTGTTTTGTACACAGTAGGTACTCAACAAGTGACAGCAGTCACTATCATTATTCAAGATCAAGATGCCAGAATCAGGATATAAAATTCAGCCCATAAGTCATTGAAGAACAGGTGCCAGACTCAGGCATTTGACGAGTTTTGGTCACACTGCTCAACACACTGAGGCCAACTGGTCTGAACACCATCAGAGGGTAAAGCATTGCCGTGTGCCACACAGGAAATGAGGCTGCATGGCGTGGCAGCAAGGGCCTAGGCTGAGAGCTAGATAAAGTTGATTCAATTTCTGTTCCACCCGCCCCCCTGTGCCTCAGTGTACTCTTTAGGAAGCCCAGAGCTTTGCAAGGCACATGTTTTCTTCACATTGACTTGGTGCCAGGCTGAGTGAACTGCAGACACCACCTTGTTCTGTGTTCACAGCCCCTGAAAGAGAGAGTTGACATCATTGCCACCATTACAGTCTGAGTGGAAGGAAACTTCTCAGGGTCATTTTAGGTCATGCATGAGTGTCCTAGCAATGAGTAAGTAGGTCTTAGGAGCTCCCATTGGAAATATTCTTTCACTCAAAATTGCAAGTGGTTTACTGAGGGGGGGGGAGAGAGAGAGAGAGAGACAGAGGAGGAGGAGGAGGAAGAGGAGGAGGACCAGGAAGAGGAGGAGGACCAGGAGGAGGGACAGGATCCCGGATTTCAATGCAGGCCCAATGCTCCATCTGTCTGTGACCTCACATTTGAGCCTAGGGCAGACTGGGAACCCCTGGCTGTTACCTGCAGAAGACTCTAGAATAGTTGTTCTCAATCTTTCTAATACCATGACCCTTTAATACAGTTTCTCATGTACTGGTGATCCCCAATCATAAAATTATTTTCATTGCTACTTCATAATTTTGCTGTGATTATATATCATATTGTAAATATTTTTTGGAGTTAGAGGTTTACTGAAGGGGTTGTGACCCACAGGTTGAGAACCACTGCTCCAGAATGAAGGCAGTGATACCTGTCTCTTTCTTATCGTTTCTCTTGCCCTTCTCAACCCTGGGAACCCTAGCCCCAGGATGCCCTCATAATATGGATGTCATTTCAATGTTCCACTGCCTTCTGTTCCTCATATTGGGTTCCTGTCTCAGAATTCTCCAAGATCCCGTCACCTTCTTTTCTACTGTGGTGGCTGGGTGATCTCCTATCATGATATCATAGTCATTTTGGGCTATTATTATGGAAATACTTTACACTGGGTAATTTGTAAATGATAGAAATGTATTGCTTATATTTATGGAGGTTGCAGACTCCCGGATCAAGGTGCTCGAAGATTCAATGTCTGGTGGTTCTTCCCTCCAAGATGGTACCTTGTTGCTGCACACTGGTAGACGTCAGGGCAGCACCACACCTCATAGTGTCTTTCAGGAAGGCATTGTCCTATTCATGGGATGACACCATTCTCTCAAGGCCCTACATTGTAATCTGACCACACTGGGAACTGAGTTTCATCGTACTAATTTTGGGGAGATGTGAGCATTTAGCCAGTGTGAATTAGTTGTGACCCTGTCCTGATTATAAGACACTAGCGCTTCCCCTCAGAGGTGGGGTCATTATAATATGATAATATATAATATCTTTATTAATTCTATGAGAATGTTACACAATGTATTTTGGTCACATTCACCCCTCCTCCCGAGTCCACCCTTCCCTACCTCCCTTCACCTGGTGTCTTTTTGTGGTTAGGAGAGACTGTCTCACCGCAGACATCCCGGTTCTCTGGCTCTGACAACCTTTCCGCCCTCTCATCTGTGATGGCCTCTGAGCCTTGGGTAGAGAGGTTGGGTATCAGTTGGGGCACTGGAGACTGGCACCCCACAGTCAGTTGTTGTCTGCATTTTGAACAGCTGTGGCTTTCTCAAATGGTCTTCATCTGCCAAGAAATGTTTCTGAAGAGGCGTGAGAGCTACGCTTTCATCTGTGGAAATGAAGATGCCTATTTAGAATACAGTCCGAAATTGCGCTGGTTTAGGAAAGTGACCTTTGAGTCTGTGGGGGCATTTTGGATGGACAAAAGGGCATCTGTGCTCAGGACTGCTTGTCCTGTCCTTAGATGTGTATGTGTATGTGTGTGCAGATGACGAGATCATAGGTGGACACACACGCTCATCGGGTACACAGACACACAGCACGCATTTGTCCTTCCCGTCCCTTCCTCCTTACGGAGTTCGCCTAAGCAAATCCTGCTCTCCTCCTCCCAGGGACACGCTGATTGTGACCTGCACCAACAGTGCCACTAGCATCTTCGCTGGCTTCGTCATCTTCTCTGTCATCGGCTTCATGGCCAACGAACGCAAAGTCAACATTGAGAACGTGGCCGACCAAGGTACAGGGCAGCTGTCACCTTGCTCTGTCGGGCACTGGGATGGATGGCGTTGGGGGACTCAAGTGTCTAAGTTGGGGTACAATGGCTAAGACAGGCTCCAGCGGGAAGCTCGCAGCAGGGTTAGAGCTGGCTTTCCTAAGAGAGGGCTTGTTTTAGGCCCGTTTCCGCCTCTATTTTTTTTCTCTCGTTCGTCTTTTTTGCTTTCTTGAACTCACTCCAGCCTGCGCTGGTCAGGGCTGTGCCCGCTAACCCTGTTAGACATGGGCAGGGAATTCATTAAGCAGCCCATGGGCCTGCAGCTGCTCCAGGGGCCGCTCACACAGGGCTCTGCAGACACCCAGTGCTGATGCTTAATGAGCTCCAGCCTGACTTCAGGGAGCCTTGTCCTTACGAAGCACTTTCTTAATGGTTAGGTCAAGTGTGTTCTCGAGGCTTTCTGCTTCGTTAGCAGACCTGCAGTTTTCTCCCCAGTGAGTGAGAAGGTGGTGGGGGTGGGAGTGTGGAATAAATGTTTACCCTGCGCCCAAATGATGCTAACATTTGCATAGTGCTTTTGAGTTTGTAAGGAGCTTTCATTTCATCACATTTAACTTCCATTTCTAGGACAGCATTTGTAGGGGGAGTAGTTAAGAGTTTTATTAGCTTTATTTCCACTCTGCCTGGTTCTACAGAGGATTAGGGTATTGCAAGGTCATGGCGACTGGGGACCTTCATGGAGATTATTGGTCATTCTGCTTGGACTCTAGTTAGGCATATCGGCTTCAGTGCGTGGGGACCGTGACAGGTGCAGAGAGGGTGGCCATGAGCCCCAGACCCTCCAGAGGCGGGGAGGCTTGTCAGGCAGCTGTCCTTCACGTGGCTCCCAGTGGTTCTCACAGTAAGCACACGGGAGAGCCAGGCTAGGTCACCTTTGGGAGGGATGACCCAGTCTCTTCCTGTTCACCAGGGACCGTTAATCACTGCTTCCACTTATGCCAATACAGCCTCAAGGAGTTAAGGTTCCAGCATGTCCCAGGGGTGTCATTATCTCTCCCTGGAGGGAGTGGGAGCCCCCAGAGATGCTGGTTCCGTGTAAGTGAGCTGCGCAGCGCTTTCTCCTGGCTGAGAATTCTCCAACTCCCTGGGAGGCAGGACGTGCTCAGACCCCCTGATCCTCCGGAACCCGGGCCACCCCTCGCTGTTCTGTAACCTCAATTTCTTCCAGCAGAGTCCTCGAGGCTGAGAGTTGCCGCCCCACTTTCTAGAATATCTGAGGCAGTTTGCCTTTTGTTTTTTTTTTTTAAACCTGTCTTGTTGGGAACTAGTGGATGAACTGACAAAGATGGTAACTGGGGACACACAGGCCACTTGAGCTAGCTGCTCTGAGCTGTCTCCTGTCCCAGCAGGGCCAGGAAGGACAGGTGCTATTAACACTCAGATAAAAATTTGCATACCTTCGGTGTGAAAAGCAGCAGAAAATTTCCAGCATGTCTCTTTGAAATTCCCTTTTCTGTAGTTGTTCACTCCCTGCATTTTATACCTCTAACTCAGGCTCAGGGACAGTGGCCACCGTGGGACTCATTCCCCAGGAAGGACCATGAGTCTTGAGACCTCCTCCCAGACCCTCTGGGACTCACATATATTCTTTTTTTTAAAAAAAATTCATATATTATATATTTTTATTGTTTCTCTTATTTTTGGAGATTATAATATAATTATATAATTTCTCCCTTCCCTTTTCTCCCATATACCCCTCTTTGCTTTCTTTCAAATTTATGGCCTCTTTTCATTAATCACTGTTGCATGCATGTATGTACATGTACATGTGTATATATGTGTGTGTATGTGTGTTTGTATATGTACATACACACGTGCACACACATATATACATACTTCTAAATATAATCTGCTTGGTCTGCATAACGTTACTTGAGTGTATGTTTTCAGGTAGACCGTTTGGTATTGGATAACTAGGTGGTGTGCTGTTTCTCCTGCTCTTAGCATTCTTTAGTTGCCTGTAGTTTTCTGTGGCAGGTTGAAGCCTCATGATCCTTCCTCTGTCTTCTTTGGCACGCCTCTGGTTGTCCTTGTCCGGCTCATGTTTAGGCAGTCGCGTTGGTGAGACTTGATGGGGGCAGCTCGCACACATCCTCATCTTCTTCCTAAGTGTATTTCCCCTACTCAAAGGAGGCGCTGCAGAAAGTGTGGGCTCACTTCACTCCAGCCCAGCTGAGCGGGATCAGCCTATCCCCATGCAGGACAGTTGCTGATCCAAACACTGGCCACTGTGTATGACTGTTAGTCAGAAACAGCACCATAATAATGCTAATCGATTGCAGCGACTACCCCATTCGCAGGGAGGTGTGGCTGTCAAAATTATTTACCCACCTCCAAAGTAGCAACGCCCAAAGGACAGAATGGTGTTCCAGAGCCACCGTTCAGTCCTCTGGTGGTGACCATTCCAGAGCCTTTTTGTCAGCGTCCCGGGCTGGCTTTCTGCGTCTGTTTGAGACCTATTTTCAACTGTAGTTTAAATCAGACTTTTCTTTTATGGCTCACATAGGAGCCTTTGAAGGCTGGCTCTACAATCTGTTCAATAAATGTATAGGACAGGGGGGTATCATAGGCCTTTGAGGTTTTATATTTTAAATATCCTGAGGCCTTATGCAATATTAGGAACTGTTTTAGTTAGGGCTTTTATTGCTGTGAAGAGACATCATGACCACAGCAACTCTTATAAAGGAAACCATTTAATTGGGGTGGCTTGATTATAGTTCAGAAGTTTAGTCCATTATCGATCATCATGACAGGAATCAAGGCAGCATGCAGGCAGCCATGGTGCTGGAGCTGAGCGTCCTTACATCTTGATCCAACGGCAACAGGAAGTGAACTGACCTCAAAGCCCACCTCCACAGTGTCACACTTTCTCCAACAAGACCATACCTCCTAATAGTGCCACTCTTTTTGGGGGCCATTTTCTTTCAAACCACCACAGGAATTAATAATCCAATACATTCCAGTTTTAAAAAATGCTGTTATGTGGGTTGGAGAAACGGCTCAGCAGTTAAGAACACTTACTGCCCTTTCAGAGGACTGGGGTTCCATTCCTAGTGCCTGTATCAGGCAGCTCACAACTGCCTGTAACCCTGCCTCAGGGGAGCTGATGCCCTCTTCAGGAGGCTGCGGGCACCCGTGTGCTAAGACTCAAGCTCATCAGCGGCCCTGGCTGTCCCCTTCCTTCCACCCCTGACAGCGTGTGGTACTCTTAGGAAACCACTGCCCCTGGCCTCTCCTTTCTAATGTCAGTAGACTTCTTATGAGCTACTATTGTCCTTGCTGTGACAAAATGCCCAGCAAAAGTAACTTGAAGGAGGGAGGGTTTATCTGACTCACAGTTTGAGGGGACGTGTCCCTCATGGTGGGGACGATATGAGTGCAGGTACTCACTGCATCTGGTCACATTGGCTCTGCAGTCAGGAAGCAGAGAGGGATACATACACCTGTGCTCAGCTCACTTCCACCCCCTTTTCAACCTAGGACCCCCACATGGATGGTGCTACCCATGTCAGTTAACACAACACAGGGAGTCTCTCACAGACATGCCCGGAGGATTGTTCCCTAGGTGACTTTAGATCCTGTCAAGGTGACAGATTGATCATCAAATTATCCCATTTCATTTCAGTTGTGAGAAACAAATCTGTCTCCAGACACTGCCAGGTACCCCTCAGGGCTCAATGTCAACAATTCTACCAGAAGGTAATAATTACCTTTGCCTCCAGTTCATCAAATAAAAGAATGTATTTCATGGAAGGTAGCATGGTCTAATTAGCAGAGATGAGCACAAATAACACAGCAGAAATAACTATAACCTGTACTAGTTCAGGATCTCAGTGGAGAGAAGCCAGTGGGCTCTGGGGAGAGGGACTCTGAGCTGGGCCTGTCTGCCACCATCTCTCTTGTTTCTTCTAGGGCCAGGCATTGCATTTGTGGTTTACCCGGAAGCCTTAACCAGGCTGCCTCTCTCTCCGTTCTGGGCCATCATCTTTTTCCTGATGCTTCTCACTCTTGGACTTGACACTATGGTGAGTCCCTGTCCCTCTCATCCCTGCCTCCCACACCTTTTAGAGACTCTACTTTCCGAGATCCCAGATCCAGCCTGCAAGCAAGACTCAGGCTTACAGAGGTTTCTCCTGAGGAATGTCGGGATGGCTGGTGAGGCACCTGTCTGGAGTCACAGTAACTATGTAGCTGAGGATGGCCTTGAACTCTTTAGCCTCCTTCCTCAGCCTCTCGAGGGCTAGGATTACAGGTGTGCACCACCACACCCAGTTTAACCTACATTTTTGTGATCATATAATGGTGTGAAGGAGCCTTCCTCTCTCCTCTTCCATTCCTTCTTTTTGTATTCTGTGCCAAGTTTTAGCCTGTATCCTCCCCCAACCCCATTGGCATCATTTCACCAAGGCGAGTTCTATAGGGTAGCATAAGGGATGGTAATATGAAGTCAATTTTAGGAAAATTGCCGTGAGGCTGCACCTACTACAAATCATGCTGACAGGTACTCAGGGTTTAGTCATTGGGTGCAGAGAGGGTTTTTCCTCAAGTAGGAGATCAAATGGCAGATAACTAGAGGAGAGGAATTTACATCTCATGAATACAAAATGAAGCTAAAATGTCCTGATGGATGATTGTGTATTCTCTAGGGGCTGGAGGTAGAGTTTCTGCAGCTCTTATAACTGCTTGAGTTCTCCTGACTTTGTGTGTTGGCATCCAGTGAGGCCATTTAGATCATCGAAGGGATAGCACCCTAAAAATCATACCGAGCCCAAGCACAGCTTTCCCTAGTGATACCACAAAGGACTTTGGTGGGAGGTTTCTGAGGGGAGCAGTTGAACTCAAATGCTTTTGTCCTGGTACTGTTTCAGTTTGCCACCATCGAGACCATTGTGACTTCCATCTCAGATGAGTTCCCCAAGTATCTGCGCACACACAAACCTGTGTTCACCCTGGGCTGCTGTATCTGCTTCTTCATTATGGGCTTCCCAATGATCACACAGGTGAGAGCCCTCTGTGTATGGCCAGATATGGTGGGGACTGTGTGATGACTGTCCAATGATCACTCTTGGGTGAGAGCCTACAGTCATTGGGTCAGCTGGGAGATGTGTGATGGCTGTCTGTCATCACTCGGGTGAGGGTCTGCAGCCATAGGCCTGATGTGGAGCAGGCAGAGGACCTGTGATGACTGTCCTTGTATTCTCATTTCTCAGACCTCATACATAACCAGAGCCAAATCACTGCCATTTCCATAAATGGCATGAGTTCAATAATATTTCTGACCACGCAGGGAAATATGTCATCTTGGCTCCTAGTGAGGCCACTAGCATCTTCATAATTGAGATGTAGTCTTCTTGGGCCAACAAGACAGGTGTGTCCTACTTAAAGAAAACAGAAAGCAGGCATGTCCAGATTTATCCATCTGTCAAATTTCCAAGACATTTCTTGTTATATATATTGAGTTTTTTTCCTAGTCCTGAATGTGTTGGCAAATTGCATAGTAACACTTAGGACATACAGTGTATTTGCTGTTCCTGTGACCTTGAGCAAGTCACTCCTCTGGGCCTTGGTTATTGAATCTATAAAGTGATGGAGTGAAATGAGATGGTCTCCAAGCCTCTTCAGTAAGCAGGGAGACTTAAAGAGCAAGAGAGAGAGAGAGAGAGAGAGAGAGAGAGAGAGAGAGAGAGAGAGAGAGAGAGAGAGACCAGAATGTGTGAAGAAGGCCCAGTATATTAGTTATAGTCTTCCCGAGAGAAACAGAACTGATAGGAATCAGCTCATGCCATAAGGGTCAAAGTAGTCCACAACAGCTCTCTCACAACAAGGAGCTGAGAACCCATGGGTGGCTTAGTCCATGAGGCTCTGTGCCTCATGCAGTCTGGAGCTGAAGACCTGGAGGGTTCCTGGAGAGCCAATGGTCCTCAGTTCACCTCGGGAGCCTGGAAAGGCTACTTCTGATATCAACAAGGAGTCAATGATAGCAAGGTAAATGAACTCTGAGGGGAGAGGGAAGGCCCGACTGACAAAGGGTGAATACTCTTCCTTCTCCCAGACCTTTTCCATCTGTGTTGCTCCCAGAGGGTGCCAATCACATTTAGGGTGGTTTTTCCCAAGTGAATTAAGGCAATCAGGGAAATTCCTCAATGAGGCTCCCTGCTTAGGTGATTCCAAAGTAAATTCACATCCACAGCTGACGGTCATATAAAGGTCAATCAAGTGCATCTACACAGATGGTCGTGGACAGCTCACAGCAAACACAAAGGCAGGTGGCTGCTTTCAGAGCTCCTTCAGAGGTTGACCTTTGCCTTGGAAAAATAGAAGATATTAAGCCAGCTTTTTTTGTGCTTGCCTTATTGATCACCTCAGAGGCCCCTGAGGGATGTCTCTGTTAACCCGGCCAAGTCTCCACTTTACATGCCTAGCCTAGGTGTAGGCTCCCGTGGAGCAGGGACAACACTGGACTCCTTTCTGCACCCGCTGTCCTTTGGAGGGGGAAGACGTAGGGAGATGGCCTGGCCACGGGGCCCTTTTTGATGGGGGCTGTTTCTTTCTCCTGCTAGGGTGGAATCTACATGTTTCAGCTCGTGGACACCTACGCCGCCTCCTATGCCCTCGTCATCATCGCCATATTTGAGCTTGTTGGCATCTCCTATGTGTATGGTAAGGGGACACCCTGCCTGCTGTTGAGAGGGAACTGGAGTGGATGGATGGCCTTCCTGGCAATTATGCTCCGCCATATTTAAAGAATTTCAGTGCCTCTGTTTCTGAGCTTGCCTCAGGATCACTGTGGTAAAACTGAGTGAGAAACAGAAGGTGGTGAATCCTAGCAGTGTGTGACAGAAATGGTAGGACCTGGCCTTGGGTGTGGTCTGGCACAGTTAACGCCCTTGGCCAGTGGCCAGATTAGGAGCGAGGGCTCTTTGGCTGGTGTGGCATTATTCTTGGTCTTGGCAGAGTCAGTGCCCATGTGTGTGAGGTGAAGGGTGGCTCACCACAGCCCCTGTTACCAAAGGCCACCTGATCAGAGCCTTCCGATCTTAATAAGCACCCAAGGGAACTTGCCATATAGTATCTAAGTCCCAGATTTTCCCAGCAAAGAAACTTCCAGTTCTCTAATGGTTTACTCTTTCTACCATCACCATGGCAACCTGCATCCCACCCACAGTAGAGCTATTATCAAGGACAGCAGGATGGCAGCCACCAAATGCCATCTCTGCCTTTTGTGCATAAGTATTTGTCCTGGAGGTCACACCAGGGGCCATCCTGGTCACTCTGCCCAGTTTGATATGGGACTGCTGACTCCTTTGTGCCTAGACATCTTAGAATGGTCACTGGATGAGGCCAAATAGCACTTGCAGGGGTATAAAACTTTTGGGGGGTCAATGATCTAATCGTATTGCAATCCACTGAAGAGAGCAACTTGTCCTATGTGAAAAATAAGAGAGATTAATTGCTTGGGATAGAGGATGCAAGTACCCCAGGCTATCACATGGGTAAGCCAGAGGCATCTGCAGAGCCATGTTCTCCAAACTGGGGGAAAGTACTCCCCAACTTCTGTGTGTCCTCTGGACAAGTGTCTTGATTCTCAAGTGATTATTAGTCTCCTACTGACAGGTATGCAACAGTTTCTGGCTTTCCTGGTTATCTCTTTAAAATAAAAGAGAAATAAAATAGTGCAGAAAACCAGGATAGAAAATGGAAATCTTTCATTTAAAATCTGGGCACCCTAGAAACAGGAAGAGGCTGCAATCATTAATTTAAAAGAGTTAAATCCTGTGTATTGTATCTGTGTGTCTGAGTGTGGGTATGTGCACCAGTGCAGTTCCCATGGAGGTCAGAAGAGGGCGTCAGGTCCCCTGGAACTGGAGTTACGGGCAGTTGTGAGCCCTCTGCTGTGGGTGCTGGGAGCCAAACTCTGGTTCTCTGTAAAAGCTGTGTGTGCTCTTAGCCACAGAGACATCTCTCCAGCCCCGCAATCACTTTTGGATGGGAGTTGAAAAGGAATTTTTGCAAGACTAGACATCATTTCTTCACTGCAGGGAGAGTTTAGTTCCTGGCAAGAGGAGGGGGCTTCAAGCAGGCCCGAGTGCAGAGTCCTTCCTGAAGACCTGTTTCCCAACTGCTAATTGCCACAAAAGGCACATTTACAAAGTGCTTTCTTGTAAAACAGGCCTGTTCAGTGAGGCTTGAAAGAATTAAGCTAGACACCTTTTAACGTGTCTAATTTTAGAAGTTAAATTGTCTCCCCCAAGCCCCAAGCAAATCTGGCAGTAGATCTCTTGGTTGTGAAGGAATAAGTGAACTCCAAGTGCTTTGGTCCTCGGGCCATGCTGATTTCCTGGGGACAGGAAATCCTTTGATCCCTAAGGAATGGTATGGGGAGCCCCCTCAGGATTAGATAGAGCCTGTGATGGACCCAGGCTGGACTTGGAATTGGATCTGAAGGAGATTTAAGAAGTAAATCTTGGGGCTGAAGAGATGACTCAGTGGTTAGGAGCACTGGACGCTCTTCCAGAGGATCCAGGTTCAATTCCCAGCACCA